ATTGTGTGTGTGTTTGTTTATATATACATATATGTAGATATATATGTGTGTGTATATGTTTATTTATGTGTAAATGTATATGTATATACATTTAACTATGTTTACATGACTATAACATATATGTATATATATACATATATATATATATATATATATATTGGTATATACATGTTTGTTTTTGTGTCTTGTGTCTGTGTCAGTGTGTATGTCTGTATTTGTGCCTGTGTGTGTGCATACATGTAGACGGAATGCATCTCAGTCCGACAATACAGTAGCTGCGTCATGTCATATGGTTTGGAATCAGTACAGCATGGGATTATTGGATCAGCAGGGGCTATTCATATTGGTGCGAAGTCATGGATGCTGATTCGCACATTGTTAATATTGTCCGTGGTGTGCGTACTCAGAAAACAGTACTTTATGTTGTGTAATGTCCACAAGTCGCCGTTACACCTGAGATACTAGATATGCATTCTACTAGCTAATGATCTAGGTCACCAGTGATATCTATCGCACCCATCTCCGATGCAAGGGCGTCCACCACTTTCTTATCTCTCATCAACATCTCCACCACATCCACATGGCCCTCGTCCGTGGCAATGCGTAGCGCACTATTAGCCTCGGCCGATGGGTCTACTCTCTCATCCTGCAACAGTCTCTGCACCACGTGTACATGTCCGTGCCAGCATGCCATACGTACCGCACAGTTCGCCTTATCCGACGGGTCCACGCGGCAGTCTTGTAGCAGTCTGTCGACCACACTCACATGTCCCATCTCACTCGCGTACTGAATGGCGTAGTTACGCTTGCTGCTGGGGTCCACACGCGTATCCTTCAGCAGCCGGTCTACCACGGCCAGCCGGCCCTCCTTGCACGCCAGGCGCACTGCTTTATTGTTTTCTGCGCACGGATCGACCCTCGCATAGTTCAGCAGCCGGTCCACTACCTCGAGATGTCCGTTCTGGCTCGCCATCTTGATGGCCAGGTTATCAGCACCCGACGGATCCACCCTCTCATCCAGCAACAGCTTCTCCACTAAGTCTGTGTATCCGTGCCGACTGGCGGATGCCAAGATGTTCGGGACCTCCGAGGGATCTACACGCTCATCTGCTAAGAGCGCCTCCATGATCTTTATACAGCCTCCCTCGCACGCGTTGATGAGTGCTGCGTTCTCATTGGCTGACGGATCGACGCAGGTGTCTTGCAATAGCAGTTGAATAACTTCAAGATCCTCTTCTGCTCCCCCCAGGGCGCCGATAATCGCATTGCCATCCCAACTCGGGTCTACGCGAATATCACGCAGCAACACCTCAGCAACGTCCACATGGCCATTCAGGCACGCCCATGTGATGGCATGGTTGTCTCTCTGCGCCGGGTTAACACGCGAATCTCTCAGTAACAGCTGCACAACGTCCGTGTGCCCGTTTTCACTCGCCCAGGCGATGGGTGCGTTCTCGCATACCGACGGGTCTACAGTCACTTGCTCCAGCAGCCTGGCAACCACGTCGGCATGGCCTTTCACGCTGGCACTCACTAGAGCACAGCACTCGTCCCCTATAGTTGGGTCGACTCGGCTATCTGCGAGCAGCAGATCTACCACGACCATGTGACCCCCTTCGCATGCAGCGGAAAGGGCGTTCAAGTAATATTGGCACTTTAGTTCTTCGGTATCGGTAGATTGGACCGGAAACCGCTCGTTGTCGTCGCCGACCATTGTGTCGAAAGCTTTCGCACTCGGATCTGTCCGCGACTCGTTCAGGAGCAGTTGCACCACTGCTATATTCCCCTGGTACGCGCTTTCACACAGCATCCTATTCAAGTCCTCGGTGTGCACGTTTTGGAATCCGTCCGTATGAACAAACACCATATCAGCCGTACCATATCTCGCACACGCCCAGAGGAGAGTCTGGCATGCACTCCCGTCGTATAGTCTCTGAAACACCAACGCTACAGTTTGTCCACGAGCATATTGCGTCACATACTTCGCATCACTTGTCGCGATCTCCCGTTTGTCGGCCAATGCAATGTCGTACAGCTTACAAAACCGTCGGCACACTTGGCGCACGTGTATGTTCGTGCACAGGGTCAGTATATGTACCCACATCTCATCGGTGAGTAGACGATGGAGTGGTTCGTTGTACTGAGTCTTGAATTGATGCTGTGGCGTTTCGGAGTTGTCATCGGCCGCAGGAGAGGCCTCACACATCATGCTGCGGATTCTGAGACAATCGGTGGGGAAGACGTTATGCAAGTTAATTATGAAAGCGGCTGGAACTTGATATTATAGATTTGATGTCATGCAAGTAAACTATGAAAGCGGCTGGGATGTGATATTAGGCAAGTAAATTATGAAAGCGGCTGGAACTTAATATTATGCAAGTATGCGGCTGGGACTTATGCCTCTACAGTCGAGAGCACAACACACTGAGCATCTCCTTCCAACCTCAACAGTGTGCACGCGGCAGAGTAGTGCATTATACAACTCTTTCCAAACGACATTTATATATGTTTGCCAAGAGTTTCAATTGTTTGTTCACAGCACAAATGACTGAGAGCTAACTTCACCCAATACGTGAAAACGAATTTCGGCTGCAGGTGTACTGCAAACCAGACCGATATAACTTGACACGTATGATAAAAATAAGGTTCGAATAGTAAACTCACAGCAACTCGCTGTCAGATCCAACCTGCCATAAACACTTACGAACAGAAACATGAAATTCGCCCAGTAGATGTCCAGAAAATATTCAATGCAATTTAGTTATATCGTACAATAGTAGCATATTTGAGATATTGAAAGCCAGTATATATGGTCCTCATATCTGGTCCTCATAATGCAATTAACAACTAGTTGATTTTTTCTAATGTGCAGAGAAATGGATACAAGCCTGGTGGTATCTTTTTTTTGGTCGATTAGGCACTCTTCCTTTGTAAAACTCCACCCACAATCAGATAAAGCTGTGTATTGGATGAACATACGTATGCGCTCGAGATCAGTTGCATGTGTGACAGTAGGAATACGTAGCCATACACAACATATTGCACTGAGCAAACCGCACAGTTGGTAAGCATAAAAAATACTTGCACCTACGAACTTCGCTGACATCTACAATAGGTGTTCGATCAGTGCGCAATAGGCATACCAGTATCCCAAGATAGCCTCCACTTCGATTGAACTCCTTTTCCTTTTTATCTAGATGTATTGAAATAAAAACTATCAAAACCCGTTCATATACATCTCTTATATACGAGCGTCTTAAATCCTTGCCTGAAGAAACAGAAAGCTTCAAAAGATACTATGTGTACAATTGCTATGTGATCGTATTCCTAGCTTCACTATGTTGTTCAACTGTCTGACAAAGTCTGTTGAATGAACGTGCAGTCCCATAGGGTTGTACGTATTAGCACTATGTATTATCACTTCCTTCGCCCCTGACTATGCTCTCGTAAATATGCATAAGTGTAGCTACCTATGTAGTACAGTGGCTATGCCTTTGTATATAGGAACTATTGTAGCTACGTGTGTATGTATTTAGTACATATATGTATAAAAAATTATTGTAAATATATAGCGCATCGCTGATGATAGGACGAAGGGAAGCCATCTATTTTATTGATGACAAAAAGAGATAGCTGTCATCAACAATCTGGTGATATTTTGTTTATTTATGATACCTGATTTGAACACGATAGAATTAAATACACCTGATTTAACCAAGGTCTACCACACTTGTCTTCGTTCATACATCCGATATAGTCAATGTCTATCTCATTGTGTCTTCATTCATACTCTGTGAGGTAGTTTGATCTTGGGGTGGTGATGGTACACTCCAGATATACTAAAACATACACACAGATAGACAGATCAATTTACATACAAAAGCGTACATTCGGTAACTGTGGCATAAGCATAATTAAGTAGACCGCTGTCATAATGTCATACGAGGGCTCAACGGAATCTTCTGAGTGCAGCGACGATGAAGAAGAGGTAGAACCACACCTTAAATACCAAAGACTGGGCGGATCGGTTGCGGAGATTCTTAAGAAAGACTCGGCGACGTAAGTTAAACTCGGTAGTATATCTATATATATATATATATATATATA